TACGAACTTGGTGAGCAACGCCGTCCTTCAGGATGAGTGGGTTGATACCTTCACCCCTCGAGGACAGCGTGTGGCGATCTGTACGTGCTCCCGGACTGGCCGGCACCTGGCCACGTTCACCCGTCGGCCTGGGTCGAGTCTGTACACACTGACTACTGCGCCTCCTCAGGTAGCTGCGTCTGCGTCTGCATCAGGTCAGCTATCGGCCCCCTGCTCGTGTCGCGCCCTGTCGCACCAGACGCTCCTTTGGCACCACCGCCTTGGTCACCCCTCTGTGGCACGCACTCCCGTCTCCTTGTCTCTAGTCTTCCCAGGTCTCTCCCTCCCCTCCCACCCTCGCCTGCCCCTCCCTGTCTTCCCTGTGTCGAGGGGCGGCAGCGCGCCGCTCCTCACTCCTCCTCGTTTCCCCCGATGACTGCTCCCCTGCAGACTCTCCACATGGACATGTGGGGCCCAGCCCGCGTCCGTGGACAGGGCCGCGAGCGCTACTTTCTGCTGGTTGTCGACGACTACACGCGTTACACCACGGTCTTCCCCTTGCGCAGCAAGGGGGAGGTCTCTGATGTTTTGATCCCTTGGATCCGCGCTGTTCATCTCCAGCTCCGCGAGCGGTTCGAGACGGACCTTCCCGTCCTGCGTCTGCACTCTGACAGAGGTGGTGAGTTTTCCTCCGACCTCTTGCGGGACTTTTGTCGTGGGGAGGGCATTCGCAGGAATTTCACGCTTCCGGCCTCTCCGCAGCAGAATGAGGTTGCTGAGCGCCGCATTGGCTTAGTCATGGAGGTCGCTCGTACCTCCATGATCCATGCAGCTGCCCCCCATTTTCTGTGGCCGTTTGCGGTCCGATACGCTGCGCATCAGCTCAACCTCTGGCCCCGTGTCTCCTTGCCGGAGACCTCGCCGACACTGCGTTGGACGGGAGAGGTTGGCGATGCGTCGGTGTTCCGGGATGGGGCTCTCGTGCCTTTGTCCACGATTCGTCCGCGGACAAGCTCTCCGCGCGCACCATTCCCTTTTCTTCCTTGGCTTTCCCCCTGACGCACCTGGCTGGCAGTTTTACCACCCCACCTCGCGCCGTGTCCTGCCCTCTCAGGACGTCACGTTTGACGATTCGGTTCCCTTTTATCGTCTCTTCCCCTACCGCACTGCCCCTCTCCCTCCCGCGCCGCTCTTCCTCGCACCAGGTCCTCCTCCGGTAGACCCCCTCCCCCCTCAGGGTCCTGCTCCCTTAGGTGTGTCCCAAGTAGACCCTGTCGAGCCTATCAAGGTAGCTGTAGACTCTGGTGCTGCTAGGGGTGCTAAGCCTGCGGGTGCGGGGCCTGGAGGTGCTGAGCCTGAGCGTGCGGAGCCTGGGGGTGGTGAGCCTGAGTGTGCGCAGCCTGAGGGTGCTAAGCCTGGGGTTGCTAAGTCTGAGGGTGCGGAGCCTGGGGGTGCTGAGCCTGAGCATGCGGAGCCTGGAGGTGCGGAGCCTGGGGGTGCTGATCCTGAGCGTGCGGAGCCTGGGGGTGCTGAGCCTGGGGGTGCTGAGCCTGAGCGTGCTGCGCGTGGAGGTACTTTGTCTTCTGGAGGTCCTCCGGGTGTCTTGTCACGGCGGGAGCCACTCTCTCCACCGCAGCTGCGCGAGTGGTTTGCTCGGCGCTGGAGCCTCCGGCGTGGCACTGCTGGAGCTGGAGGTGCTGCTGGAGCTGGAGCTGCTGGAGGTGCTGGAGCCGCTGGTCCCGGAGGTGCTCGTACTGGAGGTACTGGAGCTGCTGGAGCTGGAGGTGCTGCTGGAGCTGGAGCTGGTGGAGGTGCTGGAGCCGCTGGTCCCGGAGGTGCTCATACTGGAGGTACTGGAGCTGCTGGAGCCAAAGGTGCTGCTGAGGCTGGAGCTGCTAGAGGTGCTGGAGCCGCTGGACCCGGAGGTGCTAGTACTGGAGCTACTGGAGCTGCTAGAGCTGGAGGTGCTGCTGGAGCTCGAGGTGGTGCAGGTGCTGGAGCTGCTGGAGCTGGAGCCGCTGGAGCTGGAGCTACTGGAGGTACTGGAGCTGCTGGAGCTAGTAGTGCTGCAGGTGCTGGAGCTGGAGACCCTGGAGCTGGAGGTTCTGGCCCTGGGGGTGCTGGTGCTGTCGGTGCTGGTTCTGGAGGCATTGTGCGGCCGCGACCGTACTTCGTTCCACTGCTTCAGTAGGTTCTTGGTCTCCCGCCTTCTACTGACCCTACTCCTCCCTTACTATGTCCACCGCCTGACCAGTCGCAGTCGAAGTTACAGCCAGCCTCAACACTGCCTGGTCCTACTCCTTACACTGGGCCGACCGGAGGTCTTGCGGAGCGTCGTGAGCCTGAGTCTGGTCGTGCGTTGCAGTGGTTGTCGTATTCCGCGTCCGCGTCCTCCTCCTGTCCCAGGCACACACCAGATGGCACTTCGTCCTTCCTCTGTTCCACTACGTGTCCCTCTGCCATCTCCTCCTGCGTCCTCTCTTCCTGGCGTTGCTGACCCGCCGTCAGACCTTGCTCGTGTTGCCAGTCCTACTGTCACACGTCTTCTAGCTATTGTTGTCACTGACCCTTCGTTTGAGTCCACTGCTGCATCTGCCCTAGTTGCTGAGCTTGTTGACTTTGCTGCTGCATGTCGCCTCGACTACGCCGCTAGTCTTGTTGCTGAGTCTGAGTCTGTCTATCCTCCGTCCGTCGGGGGTGAGTGTGCTCTTGGCACGGACGTCCTTGAGGACAGGCAGGAGGACTTTGAGTGTTTTGCAGCTGCTGTACCTCATCTCGTGTCCATGCTAATTGCACCTGAGGGAGACCCGGATGCACCAGACATCCTAACCCCGCGCTCTTACACAGAGGCGATAGAGGGTCCCTACTCCTCTCAGTGGCAGACAGCCATGGACGCAGAGATGGCATCCTGGAAGTCCACAGGCACTTACGTCGACGAGGTTCCCCCACCTGGGGCGAACATCGTCAGTGGCATGTGGATTTTCAGGGTGAAGCGGCCGCCGGGTTCTCCGCCTGCCTTCAAGCCGCGTTATGTTGCATGAGGCTTCAGTCAGCGACAGGGAGTTGACTTCTTTCAAACCTTCTCCCCTACCCCGGAGATGACCACTCTTCGGGTGCTGCTGCACGTCGCCGCTCAGCGTGACTACAAGCTTCACTCTCTTGACTTCAGCACTGCTTTCCTACAGGGCAGCCTGCAAGAGGAGATCTGGCTGCGCCGCCCACCTGACTTCACTGGATCGTTTCCTGCAGGTACCCAGTGGAGCCTCAGACGGCCAGTCTACGGTCTCCGTTAGGCGCCTCTCAAGTGGCACGACACACTAAGGACGACGCTTGCGGTTCTTGGGTTTGCTCCTTCGACTGCTGAACCGTCGCTGTTTCTACGCACCGACACTTCGCTACCGCCGTTCTACATCCTCGTGTACGTCGACGACTTGGTCCTTGCTACTAGCGTGACACGTGCTTGGACGCGGCGGACCAGCTCGCAGCGTTGCTGGCGCCCGTGTTGGGTGCGCCCGCGGAGGGTGGCGCTGCTGCTGCGGGACAGCTTGACGAGGCTGTCCGGGGCTTGAGGCGGCACTTGCGCGCAGGATCTGGAGCCGCGGCGATCGGCGCAAGCACGCTTGTGGTCCGGGAGCTGTGGCGCACCCTGATGGGCGTTCTTCACGCCCTTGGAGCTCACCGCATGTAGTCGCGGGCTCCGATTGCCCCATTGATGCCATGTTTGTCTAGGTTATTGTAGGAACCGCCATTGCCTGTATGTCCTTGCTTAGTGTCACTTGCTTGTGCTTGCACTTGCCACCCCTCACGCGCGGCCGTAGGCGGCCGGCGCGAGCGGAAAATATTCTGCCGCCACACAATGAAGAAGAGAGGCCAAAAAGGCCCCTTATATAGCTGGAGTAGGAGAGGGCAGAGGGCTGAGGGTAGAGGGCAGAGGCAAGAACACTCTCTCTCTCTCTCTCTCTCGCTCTCTCGAACGAGCGAAAAATATTCTGCCGCCACACAATGAAGAAGAGAGGCCAAAAAGGCCCCTTATATAGCTGGAGTAGGAGAGGGCAGAGGGCTGAGGGTAGAGGGCAGAGGCAAGAACACTCTCTCTCTCTCTCTCTCTCTCTCTCTCTCTCTCTCTCTCTCTCTCTCTCTCTCTCTCTCTCTCTCTCTCTCTCTCTCTCTCTCTCTCTCTCCCTGCTCAAGAGGTAGGCCCCAGGTAGGTTCATCTGCCGCAAGAGTTGCTGCGCTGCTGTGACCGAGGCAATGTAGGCGGCTGGTGCCTCTGAGACAGGGTCAATAATCCCCAATCCCCCCAACCTGACCGGTAGAGTTCCCTGGCGCCACAACAGACTCCTCTCCAGTTCGTTTGGGGGTACCCGAAGCTTAGCCGCTGCTAGTGCTGCTGCCATCAGTGTTTCACTCCAGCCCCTCCACCCCTCTTTCTCCAATACTTCCGCCGGTGTCGTCCTCAGCAGGTAGGAGATTCGGCGGGATATGCTCCTTGTGAGGATGAGCATCGCGCTCTGCGGGTGGAGCTGTGCCACCAGAGGTAATGTGGCCGACGCCTCATCTAGCCTCGACTGTGCTAGGGCGGTGCAAAAAGCAGGCGATCCGACTGGGCTGCCTAGAACCCGAATCCCGTCTGTGGTCTGCTGCAGGCCGATAGCAGGTGCCGTGCCGTCGTCGTCCTCGAGGGTTTGTCCCCATGCTGATGATTTTGCGGCGTTGCAGCGGAGGCCGAGGGTTGCCAGCTCCCTGGTGATGGCCCCAAAGGCCTCGTAGCAGGCCTCCTTCGGCCCCACTATCGTTATGTCGTCAGCGTAGGCTACTATGGCGACTTCTGGTAGGAAGGTTGCCGTGCTAAGCAGGCACGGTTGAATCGCAGCCGCGAAGAGTAGTGGGCCGAGCGGGTCCCCTTGACGCACACCCCGTGACGAGAGGATATGGTTCACCCCTAGACGCTCATCTACCAAGAGAGACGAAGGTGCCCCGTAGAGTGTTCTAACGAAAGCCATGAGCTGCAGGAAACTGGACTAGGAGAGAGCGTTGAAGAAAGCCGCCCGTTCGACGCTGTTGAAGGCGTTTTCTATGTCCAGCTGTAGCGCTACTCGTGTGTCGTCGTCTCTTAGTAGTGATCTGACGGAGTGTATGATACACTCAGCGCCTCCCGGTATCGCCACCCCAAACTGCACCGGTAAGAAGAATTCTTTTATGTTGTCCGTTAAACCCCTCAATGCTGCCTTAGCCACGACGCGAAGTATAGCTTCCCCTATCGCGATAGGGCGGACGCCTCCTCCAGGCTTTTCTAGGGCGATTAACCGTGAAGGTAGCAGCAGGTCGCGGGTCGATTGAGTTTGGAACGTGCTCAGCAGGTAAGTCACTGTCTTAGCGAGTAGGATAAGCACCTCCCCGTTTGCCAGTGCTAGATCCTTGAGGTGTTCGAAGCAGGTGCCTGATGGGCCTGCTCCAACCCCGTTCGGACATTTCTTGAGAATTTCGCGAAGCTCGTCTGTCGACACGCTGAGGGTCGAGCGGTTGAACCCGGTAACCAGGCCTGGTAGCGATGTTTCAGCTGCGGGGTGTTTCGCTTGGAGTGCCGTCAATGTTGCCGCCGTGGCTTCTGCGAGCGGTGTAGTTCGTAACGCTGCTACCGCTTTGGAAATATTTCCTTTCCTTATCAACCCCTCCGCTCTGGCGCATAAACCTGCATCGTCCGGTTGGTGTCGTACCGGACTCTCATTGTCGGGGATGACACACGCGTCGGTGTAGAGGGGCTGCCAGGTGCCGAGTTGGAACTGGTGCAGGCGCAGCTCTATTGCTGTCCACCGGCTGCCTTCAACAGGTTCAGGTGCCGGACGTAGCGTCAGCCTCGGTAAGTACTGTAGGATCGCCCATGCACCTGGGCAGTCAGGATTTTTTGAGAGTCGAATGAGTGGCGCCAGGAGGCAGAGCGTGTAGCTCTCCAGGATCTTGGGCGGCATTCTGCGTACCACGAAGGGTTGATCCCCTTTTTGGAGTGGATATTTGTCCCACGTGGCTGCCATCTCCCAGATGGAAGAGTCGTCCGCCAAGTCAGATGGTGATCTGGCCCCTGGGTCACTCTGTCCCTCATTTGGGGCTTCCTCGTTCACCCTCTCCTCCCGAGGGTTTCTCCTCTCCTCCTGTCGCCTTCGCTCCCCTCTAGTTGTCCCCTCTCCTTCCTCTTCCAACGAGATTTCTTCCGAGGGCATCGAAGCCGAAGCTTCATAATCCTCCCCGTCCTCACCCCTTTCAGCATCTGCTTCATTCTGAGTCGTGGGATCCGCCACCTGTTCAGGGCGATCGTGGCGCTCCCGCCACGTTCCCGACCGCAGCAGCGCCTCTCTTCCACCAACGATTGCGCCACCTCCTCTCCGTCCGCCTCGTGCCCCGCGGGCTCCGACTCTCCCCATGCCTGCAGTTGCGCCTCCCCTACCCAAATTCTCAGCGTTTCGTCCACCTCGCCCGGCCTGTGGTGCTCGGCCCGCCGGGATCCACGGCGTGTTAGCCGGGACTGCCTGGTGACCTCGCGGTTGTCCCCAGGTAATCCCCTGGGCGCGTGTTGTGCTCCGTGTTTCACGGCGGGGTGTTTGTTGCACTGCTGTGTCTACTGCTGCGGCTGCTGGCGAGTTGTTGTTGACGGTGGTTGCTTGCCTAATGTCGTTCTCTGCTTCTATGCCTCCACCGCTCGTCCCCGCAGATGGCAATTGACGCCCTTGCGCTCGTGGCAACTGCCCTTGCAGAAGCCAGCCCAGGAGGGGTCCTGGGGGACCAGGTCCCAGCCCTGCTCCGGGCCGCCTCGGCGCTGGCTGGGCTCGAAGCTTCTTCTTCCCTGCCTTCCCGCGGGCGGCGCAGGCAGCTACGCCGGGTCTGTGACCCCGTCTATCACTCCCCTCCTGGCCGTGCCCCTGCGTGCTTGCGCCCTCGGCAGCAGCAGATGTTTCGGCGCTCATACCGGCGGTCGGCTCATCCTCCTCGGCCTGGTCTCCGTACTGTTCCCCTACCGCCGCTGTCACCACCGCTTCCAGCACAGCCGCCGTTACAGGCTCCGGTGACACCGCCAGTTCCGCCTCCTCTGTCTGTTCCAAAGCCACTGCCGGGCCCAGCACCTCTGGTTGCAACGCCTGGGGGATGGCAGAGGGTGAAGCTGAGCCGCTGCCAAAGGCAGCGTCAGGCCCGCCACGCTCAACTGCAACCGCCGCCCCAGTCGCCTCAGCAGCAACCACCTCCGGCCCCGCAGCATCTGCAGCCTCAACCGCCACAGCCGCCTCTGGCTCAGTCGCTGTTGCGCCGTTTTCCACTGCCGCCGCGGCCGCAGCCACCTCGCCCCCCGCCGTCTCCTGTTCCTCCGCCACCTCCCCAGGTGCTGCTATTCCCTCCCGTCCCACCAGCTCCTCTTGCTGCTGCTCGTGTAGCTGCGACGCCTCTCCTCGTCGAACAACGCGTAATGCACGTGGGGACATGCTTGACACTGCTGTCGTACGTGCTGGACCAACTCCACGTGTGCTTGGCACGCCAGGGTGTCGAGGTTGGGGGGATGATGCCATCAGAGCAGTCGGCGGCGGTGTCCGCGGCAACGGAGATGCTGCATTATCTCCCTCTGATCGGACTTGTCCAGGGCGCCCCTGGTGCAGCGCTTGGGCCCGGCCCTGGGGCGATGATGCGGCTTGCTGAGTCTGCTGAGGGGGCCCCTCTCGGCCTTGTATCAGCAGCCGCATCCGTCCTTCGCTGGATGGACGGGAGGCTGTGCTGGATACTCGCCGAGTAGCTGGTGGATTCCCTGTGCCGGCCCCCTTAGTAGCTGGCCTGGCTTTGGGCTTCCCCATGGCGGCAGAGGCACGCCTGGGGGTGTTGTTGTTGTTGTGTGTTGTCTAGTACTGCATGTTGTACTGCTCCATGCTATAGTCCTTGTTCCCTTTGTCCTTGCCACACCTCACGCGCGGCCAAAGGCCGCGCCGGCGAGCGGCGGCCGCCGAAGGCGGCCGGCGCGAGCCGCTGGTTTTTGGGGAGTAAACTGAACTCACCAGTGAAGAATGAGCTCAAAGGACTCCTCACTAGGTGCTTTATACTAGGGGAACAGCCATAGAAACGTCTAAGGACTAAGGACTAGGGAGGAGAGGGTGAAAAACGGCTAAGGACTAACCCCATGCCATCTCTCTCTCTCTCTCTCTCTCTCTCTCTCTCTCTCTCTCTCTCTCTCTCTCTCTCTCTCTCTCTCTCTCTCTCTCTCTCTCTCTCTCTCTCTCTCTCTCTCTCTCTCTCTCTCTCTCTCGCTCTCTCTCGAGCGAGCCGCCGGTTTTTGGGGAGTAAACTGAACTCACCAGTGAAGAATGAGCTCAAAGGACTCCTCACTAGGTGCTTTATACTAGGGGAACAGCCATAGAAACGTCTAAGGACTAATTACTAGGGAGGAGAGGGTGAAAAACGGCTAAGGACTAACCCCAGGCCATCTCTCTCTCTCTCTCGCTCTCTCTCGAGCGAGCCGCCGGTTTTTGGGGAGTAAACTGAACTCACCAGTGAAGAATGAGCTCAAAGGACTCCTCACTAGGTGCTTTATACTAGGGGAACAGCCATAGAAACGTCTAAGGACTAATTACTAGGGAGGAGAGGGTGAAAAACGGCTAAGGACTAACCCCAGGCCATCTCTCTCTCTCTCTCGCTCTCTCTCGAGCGAGCCGCCGGTTTTTGGGGAGTAAACTGAACTCACCAGTGAAGAATGAGCTCAAAGGACTCCTCACTAGGTGCTTTATACTAGGGGAACAGCCATAGAAACGTCTAAGGACTAAGGACTAGGGAGGAGAGGGTGAAAAACGGCTAAGGACTAACCCCAGGCCATCTCTCTCTCTCTCTCTCTCTCTCTCTCTCTCTCTCTCTCTCTCTCTCTCTCTCTCTCTCTCTCTCTCTCTCTCTCTCTCTCTCTCTCTCTCTTGTTATAGTCTGCAGTCCACTTAGGGGTCGCGGATGCCCATGAAACCGCCTAAGCAGAATCTGACGTCTTCAAACCGCCTCTGTTCAAAACGCCGTCACGATCAGCTCCGAGAACATACGAGGCTGAAACTTGGACAGCGGTTAGCCTTAGGTGTCTGCTTTCCAACGGTATATTACTTGCTATTATCAGAGGTGTGTGCACTACGCAGTGAACGAAAACGTAAGCTCGGCTGAAAAAACGTGTATTCTCATTGATGCAAGGAAGAGGTGAGTACAACATTGCCTAGGGGACTCATAAGGGGTTGGGTCATCCTGGGAACTCAGAGAAGGTTGAGTCCTAGGGGAGAAAGGCTAGAGAAGAATGGGAAACGTCCTAGCTAGGTCAGCAAAGCCAACCACACTTGGATGTTCAGAGCTGTACTCAAGGCTACCAATAGTGAGTCAAGCCAACATGAGTCAGCTTGTCTTCCCACTTGCACCCTCTTGCAAGTTGCTTCCAGGAAGACCACACTTCTCAAAAGGAGGGTTGTAGAGTCCCACTTGACCACCTGTACTTCTTGTCTCATTCTCTGTCCCTGCACCATTGGCATGACAACAATGAAAGGGTGGCAAGGGAAATGCTGCCAACAGTGCACCATGACTACGGAACAGTGAATTTCGGCAGCTGTCACGCAATGCTCAGATGTTGGATCGTTCTGAAACTTGGTGACCACTTGCACAGCGGGGCAAAGGACTTCCAGACCGAATTTCAGACTAATCAGATCTCGGTAGACGAGTCAGCAGCCGAAATGGTGAACTCGGGTGTTACCAAAAAGGAGTAACACACACTTCCGGGATGCCATAAGTCTTGAAACATAAAATGTTGTCATGCCTTGGTAACTGCTTCAAAAACTCTGAAACTTTGAGGGTTTTAAGAACACGTGTTGAACAACCTCCCCACAAAATTCCAGAAGCTGAGCAGGCTTGTAGGCTGAATGGGAGTGCGATGACCGTGCCACTGTAATGTGTTGGCACAACAAACTCCCCCTCATCGTGCTCTCATTCATCCCTTAGCTGCTCCCTGAAGCTGCCTCCCTTAGTTGAAGGACATGCCACACAAGGTGGCGCAGGTCCAATGCTGATGCTCTGCAAGCCGCTTCGTCAAAAAATCTGCAGGTTGCTTGGTAGTGTTGATGTAGTGCAAGGAGACCGTGCCCTTCTTCACCTCCTTCCTCACCCAATGCCATTTGATATGCATGTGCTTGTTCAGCCCATGGAGCACAGCATTGCGAGCCATTGCAATTGCTCCTTGGCTGTCACAAAACACAGGTGTAGGACCCTCTTGCTCCTGCCCCAACTCCTCAAGCAACCTCCTCATCCAAACCACCTCCTTCACCCCATGAAACAACGCCATGTACTCGCTCTCCGTTGATGAGTGAGCTATCTCCCCTTGCTTCTTAGACTTCCAGCTCACTGGACTCCCTCCAACACAGCATACATAGCCACCGTGGGATGTTGCATCACTGATGTCACTTGCCCAGGTAGCATCGGTGAAGCACGAGAGGTACAAGTGTCCACGCCTTGCAGGTGCACCGGTCTTCGTGCTCACCTCCTCCACTCCCTTTTGCTTCAGCTGCCCATGCACTGAATATTGCAGCCCCACCCTTGAGGTTGCCATGCAGTACCTCACCAGCCTCTCTGCTGCATCAAGGTGCTCTTGAAGGGGCCTAGACACCACACGAGCCAGCTGCGAAACCGCGAATGAAATATCGGGGCGAGTGTTGACCGAAGCATACATCAAGCTCCCCACCATTGACTGGAACCGACGCTGCAACTCGGGCTCCAACACCTCACCCTCCTCTTCATCAAGGTGTAGCTGAAATCCTGAGGGTAGTGGAGTCTTTACACTCCTCCCTTCCTCCAGCCCATACCTCTCCCCCATGGCTGCAAGGTACTTGTGTTGGTGAAGCCTCAACCATCCCTTCACCTCGTCCCGCTCCACGTGAAGACCAAGGTAATACCCCACTGGTCCAAGGGCCTTGCATTGAAAGGTCTCCTTCAGCTTCCCTTGCACCTCCTTGATCCTCTCCAGGGATGGAGAGAAGAGGAGAATGTCATCGACGTAGACAAGGAGAAACACTTTCTCCTCATCCCCCTCGGTTATGAAGAGACTCTCGTCGCACCCGCTAACTTTGAAGCCAAGAGCCTCCAACGCCTCCACCAGCCTTGCATACCAGCACCTTGGAGCTTGTTTGAGGCCATAGATGGCCTTGTTGAGCCTGCAAACACGTCCGCTCCCATCGTCGTACCCCTCTGGCTGCTTCATGTAAATCTCCTCATCTACCACGCCATAGAGGAAAGCCGTCTTCACATCCATTTGCTCCACCTTCCAACCACAAACGGCAGCTGCTGCCAGCAACACCCGGAGCGTAGGAGCCTTGGCAACAGGAGCAAACACCTCCTTAAAGTCAACCCCCTCCCTCTGCTGGAAACCCTTGATCACAAGTCTTGTTTTGCGCCTCTCCAACTTCCCCTCCGCATCGGTCTTCACACGTAATATCCACGTGCAATCCAATGCCTTTCTTCCCGGGGGCAGATTGGTGAGGGTCCACGTTCCATTCTCCATGAGGCTCTTAAACTCATCCTCCCTTGAAGCCAACCAAGCCTCTCGATCATCTCCAGCAAGTGCTTCCTCCATCGAAGCCGGTTCATGAGGTAAGTTGACACCGAAGCAACAAATCTGCTCCATCTCTCCCTCGGCTCCCTTCTCCTCATCATCTTCCTCCTCCTGGACCAGCAATGCCTTGGGACCCCCAAGCCTTTCATACTTGAGGAAATCTCTTGGGTGAGCAGCTCTCTTGGGCCTCTCCTTGGCTGCACTCTCCTTAGCTCCACCACGGACAGCACCACGCTTCCCTTGGGTTGTCCGCCTTGGTGGAAGAGTAGGGGATGGTGTAGGCTGCTGCACCTCCTCCTCAGCATCACCTCTCTCAGCTACAGGGGCCTTCTCTTGCTGCAACACTCCCTCCACCTCTACTGCCTCCCCTTCAGCACCTCCCAAGTCATGTGACACCTCCGTTACCTCTGAAGACGAAGACAACTCGATGGGAATGAAGAGTGGGTCATTCGTTCCCACCTCTATTCCGAGCGGAATGGTGACCTTGCTCCTCCCTCGCTCCAACCACTCCTTGAACATGAGCCCCTCCATGAACTTGGCATCTCTGGTGGTGAAGATGGTGTTGGCTATTGGGTCCCACATGAGCCACCCCTTGCTCCCTTGTGCAAGTCCCAAATGAACAGCCCACACCGCCGCCGCTTGAAGCTTGTCACGCTTTTCCTTAGGGACGTGCACGAGTCCCATGCACCCAAAGACTCGAAGCATATCCACCAGAGGCTTCTTGCCCCTCCATTTCTCCATAGGGACCCAATGCTGCCCTCCCACATGAGTCAATACTCGGTTCTTGATGACGGTGGCATGGCGAATAGCGAGGGGCCAGAACCGTAAGGGTAGACCCGAGTCTACCAACATCGTTCTCCCGCCCTCCAAGATGGTCCG